GGGGGGGATGCTGACCCAGCCCATGACAGCTCATCAAAACTCTCTGTGTGGCCCTCAGACACAAATAAATGCCTTCCCCTGCAGTCAAAGGTACTGGATTTTTGGACTGAAATTCTTCAGATGCAGAACTGGGAATTAGCAACGTAAGCTTCCTCACATTGTCCTACCCCTAACACCATCAAGTCTAAGCCTCGATTTCCAGGAGCTACTTCAGAATTAAAAAAAAGAGGTCATATTACATTTTTCCTATTCATTTCTCAGTACCTCTGGGTCTGCCAAAATACTTGTGATTAGGGGTGGACCAATAAAGATTTTCTTGGCCGATACTGATAGCCGATGATTTACAGAAGTTTAGGGCTGGATTAACCAACCATATTAGCTGATGCTGATCCGATAACCGATATTTAGTAAGAGTGAAAGGTATTTTAAAGTACTGACAAAAATAAACCTTTTTCATTTGTTTGTTTTGCATTTATAACACACACACACATGCACAGCCCCTGCCCGCTCCAGCTGTTGATGAGGAAGGCAGTGACCATCTTATCCCATGCATGTTGCTCCCTCGCCCCTGAGTCCTACCTGTTCCCCACATAGCCTGTGCTGCCATCCCAGGCAGGCAGGGCAGACCCTTGCATGAACAGCTGCACTGGGCACATTTGGAGCCCCAGAGCACACTGCTGCTTCAGTGCCGGTGGGCCCCGTGCAGCCAAGCTCCTGTAGCCACCAGGAAGAAGCCACTTCTGCAAAGGTGTCCAGTGCCTGCCAGAGTGGAATGTCCCTTGTGTGGCAACTTGATTGTGAGCAGCCCTACATCTCTGCAGCAGCCTCAGCGCTGTGGCAGACCAACATCTCTGTGAGCAGCCTCATCGCTCAGGCCCCTGCTGTGTGCATGGCATTGCCATGGCAGCGGCAGCAACAGCAGCAGCCAGTAATGGTCCCTTTGTTGCTGAGCATGGTGCCCTGTGACTGCTCCCCGGTGCTCCCTCCCCCTCCCACTGCTTGTTGGGACCTGTAGTCAGCTGTGGACTCAGGCCAGTGATGGGACATGGGGACCAGATTACACTCACCAGGGTGCTTCAGGCACCTGCTGTAATTGGCTACAATGACCAAAAAAAACTGACAGTCGACAACATCATTTCTCCTTTTATTGGTACCAATCCCATAGCCAACTGGTATATCAGTGCACTTGTGATGATATAAAAACCCATGTACTTGTGACTTCTGAACTGAGACTACCCAGCTAATTTTCTGTAGATCACCAAACAACCATCAGATTAAAACAAATGTTGGTCTTTACAGAGATAAATCCAGCTCTGGATCCTTTCTAATATTTTAAGGCAAGCAGTCCCACATATCTGGAGGTTTGTAAGACCTAGGAAGATTAAGAATTGCTTATTTTTTCTGTTCGGAGAAGAGAAGATGTCACTTGTGATTGTTTTTCTATAATAAATTTTTAGGTTCTTATTTTGAAAATATTACCTGCAGCTTTGTTTATTATTTCATGAGAATTATTAATTGCTCAGGTGAAATGCGTTTCACATATTTCTTCTCTCATCTTTGTGTAGAAGTAGACCAGGTTACTTGGTTCTGAGTATTTTTTTATAACCATGGTTTAACTCAATAGTCATAGCAGACCTTGGAAAGTTTGTGACTATAATAGCTGAAGAGGTCACACAGTTTTTTTCAGCCCCTCTGTTAAGATGAAAGGCAGTTTTGTAGAAGTGCACTGCAACTAATCTGAAGTAGCCCCAAATTTACTGTTCCTAGCATGTCTGTAAAGATGAACCAGTTGATTGCAGTATTACTGCCATAATAAGATTATCAGAGTTTTATCGTGTTTGTTTTTTGCCCCAGAGTAACCTACAGTTATATATGCAAAAAACTTTTTACCTTGGTTACATTAGGTTACTTAAGGTAATTAACCTACAGTTACCTTACCAAGGATATGCAGTTAAAACAATCACTCTAAAAGCTGTGAAAATAAAGGAATTTAAAATATTCCCTGTGAATTATAAACTTATCACTTATATTTCATTAACTGACTAGTTTGATCTTTTGTGTATGTGTTATATTAATACTAATCTTTGACCTCTTTAAGAACTGAATATTTTTACATGGAATATATAGTGTAATTGGATATTAAGTATCTTTATTTTACAGTTTGTTTCCATAGATAGTATCTTTATCTAGTAAAACTGGATACTGATAGGTTTTGATTACATTATATAAAAATAAATTATGTGTTTTTAAACAAAAATAATAATTTTAAGACCCTTTTCATTTGTTTAAGAGCATTGAAATGTACTCCAACTTCTTTTCTTGCAACTAGTACAAAAACGATTATTAAATAAGAAGTGATATCCTAAAATTAACTATCTTTAAGTTCAGTTATTATAAGGTAACTACTACATATGTGTTTTTTAAATGGAAACAACAAATGTATAATCTTTGAATTTACTTTGATCTTACATGCAGTCAAATATTAGTATATATTTAAAAGAAAACAATGCCCTGGTTACCATCAGTTTTTAAATGTCACAGGATTTTCCATAATTATGTGAGAATGTTTACTAGAAATCCTAATTTAAAAGCATGATAGAAAATACTAGAGAAGTCTGATTTTCTTTCCTTTAGGTTATTGCATTCCATAAATGAAGATAATTCTTTAAGTAGAGAGAGGAACATTTATGTAAAAATGACTTAGGATGAAACCTAGTGCTTTGTATTTCAAGGAGTCATTTATGTATCACGGCATATGTTTTCAACTTAAAAATGTTTTAAATTTATTTTCATTTTCATATAGTTACCTCAGATTATCTGTAATAACTGTGGCACTTCGGACTCAAGGGGACAGTTTATTTCAATGTTCTTTAAAATAATGTGCAAGTACAACATAATTTAGCAGGATTGTCTATCACTATGTTGGTAAAGTGTACATAACATATTATGGTCAGGATCTCTTGAAACTGCTCTAATAAATTTATAGGCAGTCTATATAGTGACTTCTATAATTAAGTGTGCCTGTTGTTCCCTTTTATGAGACTGTAGTTTTGCCAAACTGTTCTTTAAGTTGAGGATCCCACCGTAAGATATATCCCATACATGCAAGATTGGAGTAGTAATGTCCAGCACTGCTCCACGTTCTCTTGGGCATCCTTATTATTATGGAAGAAAGCAGAATAAGGACCTAAGGGCTGTGACCCTCCCTCGGTTCCTTCTTATTGTTCATGACACTATGCCACAAACTGTCCATGTCCAATTTGCTTTTTTTTTTAGCATTTATTCTTCATATCTTGTAACCAGATAGTCATCTGTTCTTTTGGGAGAAAAAAATAGTGTGTCCATTGAACTACCCGCTTTGACCAATAAAATAATGGGAGAGTCTGAGAGTCTGCCATGAGGGAGAAGTGCATGACACTTAGAAACATATATATGCCCTGTAGAATAGGTCTTTCCTTTTTCTTCCAATTTGAGAAATCATTTGTTTGCATAAAAGCCACGCCTCCTCTTCCATCAAGATCTGCATGTTGTGGATGATTGACCTTTGCTCCATTAGTTCGAACAGTTAATATGGGTCACGTCAAGACACCAAAGAATTAAGTACCAAGTCCAGTAATGTGACAAGGAAACCAATGTCTTTGAGTTTACTCTAGAGTGGTAATATGACACTAGAGACTTGATACTAAGGAGAGAAATGCACTGACAGTGGAAGCCAGATACCAAGAAAATGAGTTTCAGTAGAGAAGCTGAGATGGCTGACAGCTTAGTGTCATCCTGCAAGGAAATACAGAAATGCATCTCCAAGGAAAGGACTTCCTTGTCTTAGAGACTTTGCTTATGGTACTGATAAAACATACACCAGCACCAATCCTGCCACTGATGTGGAAACATCAAACTCAAGTTAGGAGGTGACTTGTAGAACAAGCGGTCATACATCTCAAAGAGTTCACAGATTCCAAGGATGACATTAACCTTGAGACTACTGCTGTTACATAAACAGAGATTGATATTATTTAATTTGGCACCACGTCTAAAGGAAGTCTACTTTTCCCCTTCACTGGACCATGCCTCTTCACCCTCCTGAAATAGCCATCCCGATTCAGAGAGTTGACTTAATGAATAATAGACCTAGGTTATCATTAGGGCTCTTTGATAACCTTGCCATGACTTACAGTAGAAAGCACAGTACCATGAGGAGGCAGCTGTATACTTTTGGCCTACTTCCATGGCTCATATTGAGGACTACTCCTCCCTCAAACCTTCAGATGATCTTCACCTCACTCCAGGAAGGATATCACATTCTCTTGCAGAATCCCTAGCCAGACCACTACCAGATAAAAACTGCCATTTACTGGGTTAGACCATATCCTGTGATACACCGTGACAGAGTGGATGGCTGAAAGGGAGAGTGTACAGGGTATGACCAGCATTTTGCCCTTGTTCCTCTCCCACTTGCAGCATCCAGCATTTAAGGTCTAGGAAGTTCTGATTCAGACACTGTACCCCTAACCCCATGTTCACTGATGTGCCTTTCTTCCAAGAATTTGTCTTATCCCTTTTTGAATCTGGTTAAACTTCCACAACATCCTGTAGCAGTGAGTTCCATACTCTAAATCCATTCTTTCGTTGTTCTTTTATCAACATGGTTTGATAAAGGAACTTTGTTCTGAATGGCTATCGATATTGATATACCTGATCATTCTAGAACATGCTGCATATTTAATAATTTATTTACAATTTTGTGTTCAGTTTTACATTTCTATTACATCGACTGATCTCTTAGATATCATTTTTTTATAGTCATTCATGCTTGTATAAAATCATTATACCAAAACAAACTCCACTTACCATCTTTTATCTGTCTTTCTTTTTTTTAAATTCTGCTTAGTCAGATATGATAAACCTCCAAGGTCAATACTTTAGATAACTGTAGACATGACACATAAAGACTGTCTTAATATGTAAAAGGTCTTTATCCATTTCCATAATATTTGAGAAGATGATGCTGGAATAATTTTACCTTATCAGTACTAAGAACACATGTATTTTTTTTGGACATTCCTCAATATTCCTTCTTTTCCTAACCCCTGAAAAGTTTATGGAGGGTTCAGAGCTACTCCAAAATCATAAATAGTTTATGTTATAAAGAAGAAAGAATGAAAAAGCAGAGGACAGTGTAAAAGCTTCTCTTACATTTAGGATAGTCCTTTGCTTAATTAGCTTAGGTGGATTCAGATGAAATCCTGGCTCTAAAGGTGGGTTTTCTAGTAACATCAAATAATATGAATGAACTAAATTATTTTACTGCTCATAAGCTGGTAGCATTCTGTGAAAAATTTGAACTATTCAGGAAGCTGTTAAAAAAAAGTCTCAGGTGAATTCCTGAAAAGCCAGAAACTCACCTCTTTCTTTTTGAATGCTCTAGCCTGTGCTCAGAACTCTAGCACGTTTGCCAGATCTAGCAAGAAGTCTGCAATATATAAATGCTTGGAAGTGTGTAGTCTCAGTTGAACAAAAAGGCTCCTAGAGAGCTGTTCAGACTCTTGATGGGGGCATCTGGCCCAGAAATTATGGAATCATTTTGTTGGGCAAATTATCACCGTGTTTGCTCTGGGTTGGCCTGCCCTCAAAAGTAGATATTTATGGGAAGAAATCAAATTGAGGTATCCTGCCTGATGATAGCTGGGTCAGCCTCTAAGGCTCAGGATTTTTAATTTTAGCAAGATTGTGATAAAACTACTCTCTCTGTTTTGATTTAGAAAAATAGATCATTTGTCTATATGATTTAGATTTGAAAATTAATCCATGGGTTTTGTTATTATGTTGGCTCATGAGAATGTTAAATTAAAAACATTTCAATATATGTGTTTGTGTTGCAGGAACTGGAACAATATAAGAGAAATGCTTCCAAGTCCTGGAAAGAAATGGAGTTGGAATCTTGACTTACTTAAAGGCCAAATTCTTACCCTGTTTTCAATTCTGATTTTGTACATTTGTTTTGACTATTACACAAATCATTTAAATAGGTATCTAGTACAATTGGCAAAATAATACCACAAACGCAGAATCATTAAACAGTTTCTGTACCATTCTATTATTCAGCCTGGTAGTGATCTTACTTACTGTGGTTTTCAAGTTTCTACGATCTATTTATTTACCTGAATCCACGAAAACTTTGAATTTAAGATGACTTCCCCCCCCCCCAGTTAAAACCATGGAAAATTGTAAATTTGTTGTAGTTTTCTATGTATGTAGAATGTAATTATTGGAGGGTCATCTTAAATTCATCACCACCATTGCCGCAGGAAAAATGGACAGGAGGGGCAGCAGACAGGCAGCAGTAACAGCAATAGGTCTAGCTCTGGCTCTGGCCTGCACAGGCAGTGGCTGCAGCTCTGAGCCTGGAGCCACAGCAGTGGCCTGTCCTGGGCTGGTATTAAAATCCAAGATGGGGCCCTTTTTCCCCACTTCTGAATGAGCATAGAGATTTAGCATAGGGCAGCTCCAGGGACTGGGACACAATCATTTCCTCCCCAGTCTGTGAGATTGGGCTGGGAGCAGCTTTGGGTCTTGGACCCAGCATTTCTGTCTGATTACCAGAGACAGATGGGGGGGGCGGGGGCCATATGAGCCTGGCATCAGGGAGCATTTCCTTGATCTCCAGCTCACTGCATCCTCAGACCTTTAAAAAGCTGGTGTGCACCTGGAAACACCAGCTGCATGCCTACTTTTTTTACGTTCCGGGGGCTCAGTGGAAGCAGCAGCTGCACAGGATGAGGTACATTCAGCTGGAGAACCAGAAGCACCCACACAGGGAATTTGAAGAATGCTGCTGAGGCAGCTTCCCCACCAGAGACTTTAAAACCCACATGTGGCAGTTCTGGCTGGGCTGCCCAGTGTGGGCACCAGAGGCTTCCAGCATATTTAAAATCCTCAGTGGAGGAAGCCCTTCAGCTTGCACCTCTCCACCCCCCAAACCAAGAATCTCTGATCCCCTCCATCCAGTAGCCCAGCTAAAGCTCCTGGGCCTGAGGCTTTGACAATAAGCTGATTGTGAGCCTGGCCTGGACAGCCTTGTTCTGAAACCAAACCCAGTGCTGTCCCAGCTGCAGCCAACAGTCAGCTGACTGTCAGCTCCATCGCCTGGACTGCAGTGGGGACTCGACCAACTGGCTTTGCTGAGATCTAGGGCTGGGGTGACAATCAGCTGATGGTTGACCCAACTTGGGTAAGATCTGGAGATAGCCTGACAATCAGCTGGTTGTCAACCCAGCCCAGGAGCACACCAGGGCCAATTCAAGACCAAGGCACTCTATGCTGGCAGGAGGACTGGATGAGGTTGGAGGCACAAGAGTGCTCAGCAGTAGGAAGATGGTGACAGGAGCATAAACCTGTCCTAGTGCAGTCTGGAGCCAGGCCGACAATGAAAAGTAGATTATCAACCCTACCCAAGACTTCATGGAAGCTGGTTCAAGTCCCCTGTAGGATTCCAGAGGCCAGTTGACAATCAACTGATTGTAGGCCCAGGTACTCCTTTGTCAATTTGTCAGTGCAGAGGAAGTCTGGGATTACGATCATAATATCTGGGTCCCCCTCTACTGGCAAGTAATAATGGCATCATTGGAATTGGATCTCTGATCTCAACAGTCATACCATTAAATGAACTCGTGCCAGGGACCTTAACAAATTAACAAAACTGTAGACATTCTATTACAGAAAGAGCCTATATGCATTTCTGCTATGATCTTTAACTAAAATGGGCACTTTCCTGAATGTACACTGTTTAAAAGCATCTTGCTTGCTTTCCTTTACCAGCACACAAAAAATAGAAATAAAGTATAGTGCTTAACATATAGTCATATGCTCACAGGGGAGGGCAGAAAAGTCATTAAAACACTTTATGTCACATTCAGAGAGTGTTAAAGGTTGGGGGAAATAATTCCCTATAAATTATTTTTTCATTAAAAATGGGAAGAGCTTTATTCCATAAGGGGGGAAAACATGTTTTGTGAAAATGTCATTCTCCCAAAACCTAATTTCATGTAAAAAACTATATTATATGAGCTGGCTAAGCATTTTCCATTCAAATATCCAAAAGCTCTTTTTTTTTTTTTTTTTTTTTTGGTCTGGAAGCAAATTAAATGTTATGTAGGAAAAAATACCTTCCTCCTCTAAAGCAACTTCATTTCCTCAAAAACCTAATCTGTCAAAAAAAAATGTTCAGCTTGCCCTAACAATGTACCTCAGTTCATTCTTTAAATGTACAAGCAAATCTTACATTGTTTAGATAAACAATAGGTTATTCTAAGCGAGTTACTAATAAACTTTACAGGGTATGATAATAACCTGTTTAGTACTTTGCAGACAAAAAGAAAACTACAATTTACAATTTAGAACTTTGAAACAATATATTTCAAAGAAGATTCAGCCAGCACTACTCAAAATTTTAAGCTACAATAATATAATTTTAAACTATTAATGCTTTCAAAAAACACAGTATTTTATATCAAAACAAAAACACACTGGAAACAAAATTAGAGAATAAGCATGTTTCTGTAGTTTAATGTAAAAGCATATATATTTCATGCAACATCAAGAAAATAAATCAAATGCTACAGGTTTTAATAGTATAGTACTGTATAGCCAGGCTAGAATTTCAGACAGTTTTATTGCCTGCTGGTAATTCTATCTCTTATTTTAAAACTCATGATTGCTGTGATGACTAGTGCTGGTAGGAAGGCATACAACATTAACAAATTTGTTGTGAACCGGGACATTGCACCTGGAAAGGTTTTTTCAATAAAATGAATCCCTTGTGAGAAAAGACATGTTGAACCAGCTCCAGTAGAAATATTGACACCACCTGCCAAAAAAAAAAATTATGAATTATTTCCTGGAGCAGGAAGGCCAATTATTAACCCCGGTTTCTAGCCAGAGACCAAATTTTAAGCTAACTCCATTACATTAAAGGTGTTTGACCTTATTATTCCTTCCTCTAAAAACTTTATGTTCCCAGCTCCTGTATCTTTCCCCAGGGTTGTGGAGGTTCCTACCTACAACTGAGGAAGTGTTGCTTTGCTGTGCCCTGAAAATGGGAATTGGGACTTTCTTCTTCCTTGTGTCTAGCCTATACTGTATTTTCTGAAAAGAGGAATGAAATTATTTGTGCCATTTAATAAAAGATGTAGGGCTCACAAGATACAATGCCAGCAAGAGACATAGGATCAAAGAAGCCTGACAGGTCTTCCAGCTAGCAAGATGTCAAGTTTCCATAGCCAGTTGCTCACAGTGGAGCAACGCGTGCCATCAGACTCTCAACCCAAATGACTATGTACTCATTTTCAGTTGGAACAACCAAGTGCAGCCTTTGGCACAAGCCCAAAGTAGGGCTCAAGCACACTCCTGGCACTGTTGAGAGACACTTCAGCCATTCTACCACAATGCTGCAAAGTGGGCTACTGTCATCCTGGGAAAACTTTGTCTGGTACCATGAGATTTATTTATGTTTCTAAAGTGGTTTGATATCCTTAAAAAGAAGTGCAAGGTCTTACTGTCATAGCTATGACATTGGCCTCTTGTCCTGACTAAATTAGACTGTTGCAATACACTCTAAATAGGATTGCATCCTGAAAGTGGTGGGAATAGACATTGGCCTAGAATGCAGCTGTCCATTTAAAGTGTGAATTATAGTGTTACTGAGTACCCATGAGTTCCTAGGTGATGTTACAGCCTAGTCCATAGCTTGGTGAAAGGGGCTGTGTCCTAGAAAATGGGGAATGCGGGATTGAATCCCCTCACAGTAAAGAAGGCACAGAACCTAGCTGTCTTGCTTCATGGGAAAGTGCTCTCGCCACTACGCTACTGGTCAGAAGGTGGGCTCTTGTACTTATAATGAATCCCTAGCAGGTTAGGCAGGGTTCAGGTGCTTGTACACATGATAAAAACTGGCTGCTTTTTGTTTTTGCAGTTTAACTGAGTCACTGTACACATGCAGCAGTTTTTTATGATTTAAATGAGTTTGCTATGTTGCAAAGTAAACCACATCCGCATGTAGTTTAGTTTGCAATGTAGCTTTTTGTAAAACTGCAGCCTCTGACAGCTGCTCCCCTGTCGTGGGAGAGGTGGGTTGAAGGCAGAAGCAGTGAGGTACCCAATCCTTTTTTTTTTCTCCACAGAGCCTGCCTGCATTTCCCATGGCCAGGGCGATCTGCCATTGGGCTGAGCTGTGGAGGGCCCCAGTCCTTCCCTCTGCTGCAGCAGAACCCTGTGGGGCCACTTGGGTGCTAGCAGGTGGGTGCTGCCCCAGCTCAGGTTTAGGGAAGAGTTGGATCAGGCTGAGTGCTGCCTGTGAGCTGGGGCAGCACCCACCCACTAGCAGCCTGCTGCAGAGGGAAGGGCCACGCTCCCCTGCAGCTCGGGCTGCACGGCCTGGTGGCAGCTTGTACAGTCAGGCTCCACTGAGGGGGGCAAAAAAAGCATCAAGGGGCCTGATCCTTTTCTTTTTCTGTCTCCACAGAGCCTGCCTGCCTCTACCATGGCCGGAGGGTGAGCTGCCGGTGGGCCCTGAGCTGTGAGGGTCCCTGGACCTTCTCTCCATGGCAACAGTGCCTCGCCTGGGTGGCACCCACCCGCTAGCAGCCCACTCAGCTGGCCTCGGGGGGCATTGTTGCCGCAGAGGGAAGGATCGGGGGCCCCCCCGCAGCTCGGGCTGCTTGGCCTACCAGCAGCTCACCCCCTGCCACGGGAGACACAGGCAGACTCCATGTTGGGGGTGGGGGAGAGGAAAGGATTGGGCCTTTCACTGTAATGGTGATGGAAGCCTCTAAATTGAAATGGTGGGTTTTTAATCACAGTTAAAAACCCACAGTTTTAATTTAGGGGACTATACCCTTGTCACGTGTACAAGCAGCCAACATGTGCACCTCATGCAAAATGGCAGCAATTCTGAGCATATGGAATAGTTTTCGTTTCAAAGATCTTTGTCCTTTCTCAGTCAAATGCTAGAAGGTGTAGAGCTTCACCTGTGCCTGAACATTTAGACTGAGCTGTGTCAAATTACACATCTGAGGAAATGGCAAGCAAATCCAACTGAAA